GAAAAGGGACATAATTAATCTTGACAAACTATATATCATTCTAAAGGTCTAAGCCTCAAACATCGATGATAGCACAGCTAGCACACTATGTAACAGTTATGTATTGTATTCGTACTTTTTGGTAATTTTATGACTTGCTGGCAACGTCGTATGCACGTATTTCCATTACCATTCCATTACCAACTCACAACATCGTCAGTACATCCTCCTTACATAACAAGATAACCAAGAATGTCCCAGATAGGTAATCTAATCGTAATATATTACCTGGATGGAATCAAGCTCCGTTTAAAACCAAGGACTACATCACACAGTGGCAGCACCTCGAGAGAGGGATTGTCACAGGATTTACAGTCTCCCCCACCCTGTTCATCATGGGCATGAACCTCATCATCAAAGCAGGAGAAAAGGAAACCAGAGGCCCAATGATGGACTGACTGGTTGCTGTCAAGGAGGTTGTTATGTGTGAGAAAGGCAGAGACTTGGTTGAACACAGCTCGTCCAGGTGCTTTTGCAATGAAAGGAAAAAGGGAAACCGGTCTGTAGTTCTCTAAAAGATATGGGTAGAGGGTTATGAAAAAAAAAAACAATTCAGTGTGGTACAATTTATTTTCAAGGCACTTCAGTATCTATAACTTTTTTATCTTTTTGAGCATTATCAACTCTGGATGATGGATAGTAAAGCCCAAAGGGTCTTCTTTCCAAAGACACCAAAATTGTGTGTGTAGCACACTGAAGTCAGGAACTGTTACCATTTTAAGTTAGGTAGGTCATTTTCAGCTGTGAGTCCCAAATTAGGGGGTGCAGGTTAACAGGTTAAAGGAGATGAGATGGAATAGGATCAAGCGGACAAGTAGTAGGATGATTAGAAAGGATGAGTTTGGAGACTTCTGCCTCAGAGAGTGAAGATTTGTTTGGCAACATGCTTGAGCAAACTAATCAAAAGTGAACATTTCTGAGGATTTTTATTGCTGTTTGTTTTCCTCATGCTTGACAAATCTTGCATATGTGATATGTATGTCTGTGTGTGTGTGTGTGTGTGTAAGAATGTGGGAAGGGACGGCCACATAATGACTACTCCTGGCAACACTCCTACTCTAAATTGACACAATGATGATAATAATAATAATTATAATAATAATAACAACATTATTAAATCAACAACATTATCAAATCCATTTATTCTCTTCACCCACTTAAGGCATGAAACAGAGAGAGGGAGCTTCTTCCCAAACTCCCGGAAAAGCAATTTTTCACTGCAGAAATCATCAAATACTGAAATACACAGGCAGGTGAGAGTGAGAGAGAATAACGCCTTTTTCAAGGTGATACATTTAGATGGAGCACCCTGTTTGTCTGACATGATGTCTTCAGCTACTCTCTGTGCAGTATCTTTCACTAAATAACTTCTGTGGCTTTAATAGGAAACTCCGAAATTAAAGTGGAAAAGATCAGACAGAGTTAAAAGGGTTGATTGTGACTCTGAGATGTTAAAAGCTCAGTATTCCTCAGTGCATATATGCTGATTACTCATGCTTTAGAGTTCTCTGTGTCCATGGTGTCTCCCTGGTAACAGGGCTGTGATTATTGTCCATTAACCTGTCTAGCAATATATTCACTATTATTTGGAACCAAGAGGTGAGGGGTTGGCTGGTGAGCATGGGCAGTTGGCCCCTGCTGGTAAATGCTGAATAATATTCAAAGAATGTTACATAGCATAGAGGCTTTACCTTTCAGTTGAGAGACAATGTTTTGATGATTTATAAACCCTACCACCACATTCTGTCTATTTTTGTTTGGCCAAATTTTATTGTGCCATGTTGGGAGTACCACACAGTAACAGCAGCTAGTGTGGTGTCAAACCCACTCTATTCTAAAATAAATAATCAGAATGAAATCAGACATGTGATAATATTCCTATTTACAGAAACTGTTAAATTGACTTGGAATTTAAACTCTTTCAATGCTTCATTAGTCCAGTAATGGAACAACTCATTAAGACTTGATTTTCCTGTGGGATTTGGCAATGAAAAAGGAAGGAATGTAAGTAAATTAAAATTCTCACTCTCACAATAAGCAACACCACCCTTGCTTTGTTTAGTAAGAATATTGATTGAGTAATTACTCAGAAATACGTGGGAAACACAAATTATGGGTAAAATGCATGAAACCAAAAATAAGATCAGTATTTCAAAAATCACACACTGCAGCTAAATACTGCTGTCATTCTTCTTCTGTCTTATTTCTGTACACACAGAGTCAAGTTATTTATCCTATTTTCAAAGTGAATTCCCTCGGTCCCTGAAAAATCAGGTTAGGACAACCAACATTCACATTAAATCTGTAAGTGCAAATTTTGATACCATCTGTCTCGCTTCACTGTGGTTGTTCCCACCAGCCCTGCAGTCTCGGGGCAACCCACACATTCTGATCAACAGTGTGCATGCTGTTTACAAGCAGCAGCTAACAGAGCATAAACAAAACTCATGGTGTTTTACTATATTACTAATTGCTGGATGATTATGCATATCTGGTTGTTAATGTTAGTTTGGTGTCAAATAAACACTATGCGCATCCACATCTTTTGTTTAAAGCTGCAAGACACCAAAGTGTTAGTGATTGTAAAAAAAAAAAAAAAGAGAGAGAGAGAGAGAGAGAGGAGGAGAGAGAGAGAGAGAGAGAGAGAGAGAGAGAGAGAGAGAGAGAGAGAGAGAGAGAGAGAGAGAGAGAGAGAGAGAGAGAGAGAGAGAGAGAGAGAGAGAGAGAGAGAGAGAGAGAGAGAGAGAGATTTGCCAATAGGGTAATAAAACTATATTCTCTGAAAACAAGTCTTAATGTCTTGGACAATTTAGCTCCTAAAGCACATTTATCTTGTTCTAAAATGTTTAGATATGAAACACTGAAAAATAGTACAAAAATACTGATTAATAAAAATGACTTCTTAATTCCATACACACAGAATGATATCTCAGGGGATTCAGTCCCGCAAACAAATGCAGATTCAACTCCACAAAGTTGGCAGTTTGTTCTTGGCTAAAGTACAAAAAGACAAAAAAATCTTCTTTGGATCATCACCATGACTTCCTGTGATGTTCAAGAAGTGAATTCAACAGGTGAAAGGTTAAACTTAATGCTCCAATGATCATTTGACTGAGATAGTGAAGAATGTGGTGTTTGGTTAGAGGAACTAGCTGACAAAGAGATCTCACTGTGCTGATTCCCATGATGTCCCACTTCTTCTCAATCTAAAGCCAGTGAGTTAATTTGCACTGAAACCTCACAGTGGGATGTTGTTAATCTTTAGAGTGTGTTTGTGTGTATTGTCTCTGCACATAGGTTCATAGTGCTGGTCCAATCAGAATCCCTTCTGACTGAACTGATGGGATATTGAGTGTCGTGTTTCCTGCTGTGTGTTGTTGAGTGGGATTTGATGATGTTATTATGCAGTTCTTCGTCATTTGGGTTGGAAAACAGTATGAGCTACGATAACCTGATTATAATTTCTACTTGGATGAACTTAGAATTGATCTCAAGACTCAAAACACCATACACTTCACAAACAAGCAGGTGTAGAGTTTCTGGGGGGATCGGATCTAAAAAAAGGGCTGTAAATCTGTTCAGACAGAGAGTAAACAACAATGCTAAATGCAAGTGTTGGAAAAGCTACTTTGAAACTTTAGTTATACTATAGTAATTAGCTACTTTCCAAGTTAAAGTATAATGTGTTTAAGAAAAACAATTAATAATAAATCACTACTGAATGAAATAATTTATGTTTATAATTTATGCGAGTATTTATCTGGTACAAAATCAATAAGGATCAGAATTAGGATTACAGGGTTATTCAATAGCATTTTAATAGATACATTTTCACTTAAACTAATACAGCTAGAAAAATGCTAAATTTGAACTGAATTGAAAACATAGTGATGAATATGAAATATTTAGCTACAAAAATATATAAATACTGCACAAGGACTGTGAATCAATCATTTTTGAACAGACAAATGGTTACTCTATTAAAAATATGGAGTTAAATTAGTAGCTTCACTACTTTATTTTAGATCCCTTTTAATTAGTTTAATTAACTGCAAAAATGAAAATGCATTACCATATAAACAAGCATTTATGATAGTAAAATAAATTGGCGTAGCAACATTTAGAATGTCAATCATAAATTCATAAATGTAAAAGTACTTTCATAAAAGTACTTACAATCATAAAAGTAAAAAACATATTAACCCATAGTACATCTGGTTTATGCTTTAGTACGGTGTTGGGGTGCCACTTCATGTCCAGATCTCAAAAAATCTCTTACTAATTCAACAGAAGCGTTTCAATTCGAACACACACCATGAGGGCCTTCCATTCACAGGGGGTCAATACAATACATCTCTCATCTTAGTAAGTTACATTTTCTCTCACATCCTCTTAAAACTGAGATGCCTTGGTTGCTGTTCCATGGAACAGATGGTCTGCGAGTACATTATCTCTCCACAGAGACGTTAAGGAGAATCTGTTGAAGTCTGGCTTTCTTTCAGACATTATCACCATTTTCTTGCATCAGCAGAATCCCCTACAAAAACTTCTGTGGATTCCAGAAATATTACATCACTGCTTGACTTTGCTGTCTTTGAGGTCACAGGGTACACCAAAAGCACCTTTGAAAATCGTATTATAATAAATGTATCTAATTATAATTTACCTCAACAGTGAACAAGACACCAGACAGCATTCACATATTTTTGGTCTATAAATTTAATTCCAGCATTTCAATGTGCTGTCAGAGAGGCTATTATGATGTGTGATCCTGGGTCTCTCTTGCATGTTTGCCACAGTTTATGTAGTGATCAAATTATGATATAATGAGGCACTGCAATATATTTGTGATGTACAGTATGTTTCACTGTGTAATGCAGTAGTCGTGATTGTCAGCTCTATTGTATAATGGCCACTCTGCCAGCTGTCAAAACTGTAAAACATTATGGAAGACTGGACACTCACGATATGGAGCATGATGTAGTCTCCTAGTCTGGGGGCGCTGTCAATGCGGACCAGAATCCCGTCCTTGATGGTGCTGCTGAAGCCCACCGCCAGTCTATCGGTTCTAGTGCTGGGCCTCTCGTTATTGGGCCATGTGTATGTGATAAGTCCTCCTCCCTTTCCAAAGATGTATGTAGCTCCAGCTGCAGGGAGAAATAGAGAAAGAATAGTGTTAGCAAATCTTGCATTGTAAATGAACAAGCAGACAGCAAAAAGCTTATGAAAAGATTGCAATAATGCAGTTACAGGCATCAATTGCCAAAATGTCTCAGAAGGTATTAATTTAAATATAATCAGTTTGTCCTCAGAAAATATAAACAGGTGGGGCATAAAATTAGATGTGTCAAAATATCAGATCTGTGCATTACATCTTGCACTTTAACAGGCATTTTCGGTTGAGGTTGTTAATATTAACAAGAAAAAGAAAACCACTGCTCCTGACTGGAGAGTTTTAGTAGCTTTACTACAAATGAACACGAAGACAAAGTAAGACCTAAAGAAAAACAGTACAGCTAATTGATACAGCTCTTCAGCTTTTCAGTTCTCTGTTGTATGTTTGGCCTATTGGTTTTATTTGTCCTGTTGCTTGTAATTTGCTTGTGTCTTCAACAGAACATTAGATATTCTTGCTGTGGCATGAGATTGCACTGTTGTAGAGTGACAAAACAATAATAATTATAATAAATAAACAAACTAGATCTCTGTTAAACCCTAGTAGTGTTTATGTATTCAAGGAAATGAATACGTAAAACACATATGGCTAAATCCTCAGCTTTACAGATCACATGGTGTATTTAAGACCCTTTTAGTATGTTTTTCAAATGGTACCCTGGTTACCCTAGGATCAGGCTCTTGTTTTATCATTGTGATTCATGCAGAATAAATTAGAAGTTTGTCTGAGATCACTGTGAAACCTCCAATGGGGTGCTAAACAAGCACATATCTTTTTATGCTAGCTTTAGTGACCTAATTTTCATGGCGACTCTTAGACCTTGGCTGGAGTGTCCAGCCCTTGAGCTGAGCTGTGGGATCAACGCTTGGCCCTCAAGCCTCTTAAATGGGGCTCTATCCAGGGAAAAGCTTGAAGTCGCCAAAAAAAAAAAAAGACTCAAAATCCTCATACATTATACATGAATCTGCAACTAGAGAACAAAAGCAGGCAGAGAAATAAAATCAAACAACCTTTTCCAAGTGCAACTTTACAAACACAAAAGGGCAAATGAAATAAGCTGGACGTTGGCTCCTCAGGAAGTATTCTCATTATGCTTTCAGATCACACGAATTGCAAAAGATAAAACGAGTGGCAAAACTCCAAAAAGTTTCTTTGAATCATAATAATTACCGCTCTTAAATCAGAACCATTTACTAATGTCTGGACAAACATGTAATCAATTATGCCCAGGTCTCTGAGATCTAGAACTGCTAAAACATCAGAATCTTTTGGAATCTATTCCAGGGATCATAATTTAGACATAATTATAGTTGTGTTCAACATAACGGACAGCAACATAAGCAGCTGCCATATATACTCTTATATTAAGAGTAACAGACATATTTTATTTTTAGGGACTTTTCTTAGAGTGGATTTCACACAATCACTCAATTTATTTTATTTTTATATGATATGATTTGATTTGATTTTTAATTTATTTTTATACACTCTACTAAGCATAATTGTAGATGAGACATACATTTTGGGTAAAATAGTTATTTTAAAATATGTTTACAGTTTTGTCTGTATTGTTTTATTTTCCAAATTTCTTCATACAAGCGATTCTGGCTTAAAATATAGACAAATAAGATATCTTTCCATGAAATAATTTCATAATTCTTATATTAGAAAACCACTGCTCTTGCTCTCACATGTTGTTTAGGTGAGTTCTCTGTTATGTCTTCTTGAGCAAATGCACACAAATGTATGTCTTAAGTAAATATAAAGAGTTAAGAAAATATGTGACAGCAGCCTCTTATGCCTTCTGTTTCCTATGTTAATAATGTTAATCAAACAACAAATGAAAAATAGAGAATCACTCACTGCTCTTAACTAAATAACTCATGTGGCATTAATAGGTGTCTGCATATTTTTAATGTAGCATTGTAAAGTATTGCTTATTTAATTTGTATCTTTGTTCTATTGTTTTTATTTGATATTGCTTGTAATTTGTAGGCAGCTCACCAGGTTTTGGAACAAAGCAAATGAGATCAAATAAGCAATTGAGGAACGAACATGTTTGTGAACATTTTTGGGCACTGTACAGAAGGAACAAGACCACAGGTAAACTGGCAGCTTATTGCCATCGTTGCCGTTTTCTCCACCATTCGTTTGTTATTACATTCGTTTGTTATTAAAACTGTGACATCTCATTTGCACATCTGGGCTTGAGGGCCCAGCTGGTTGATATTCCTTAAGGGGAAGAGACATCATGCCAAGCGGATGGGGTTTAAGTCCCAGGAGACAGAGAGACATATGGGAGTGAGATGAAAGAGAATGCATCGCATACATATAAGACCCGTGCTGGGTCAACCTACCTTGTCCCGAACTAATATGTCTATGCTAGGTCAACGCTCTGTTTTATTAGATAAATTACACACTTGAGGCACAGAGTAAAATCCAGACCCTCGAGAAACAAAACCACAGGATCTCACTCAGAATTCTTCAGTGTCTCCAAATGTAGTTCTCGTGAGGATGGACACAGATCTGAGCTCAGTCTTCAGGGAGTTGTCCTCATATACCATGCCTTCTCAGTGCTGTGGGATGCCATGAAATACTGCATCCACACTGCACCCTAGGGAGCCAATTATCCCACTCAGTGGATTTGCTAAGTAACAAGAGACACCATTCAGTCCTTACAACACTACGTTTCTAATGGACCCTGCACGGGTAGGCTTAGCAAATGCCTGACACACACAAAAAAAGCTATTTACCAAATTTAATCGCATCAGGGCTTTAAGCGATTGCACACGTCCATTTAAATGCTGCCAAATTGGCAGGTAGACTGAGAGTTACTTGCAGTGTTGATAGAGTGAGGGAGTGTTTTGCATTTAGGCATTGGTGTTAAGAAAAAGGGCTAAAAGTAGTGAGATTGTAATTATGCCACAAATGGACTGTTTCTAATGAATACTGAAAGCTTTTGAAAGTCTGGTGTTTTATGTATGAATTAATTATGGGCATATTGCATCTTCTGGAGCAATACGTACCACAGTTTGTGTCTTCTTAATGGAATTTCAGGCTGGTAAAAACTTCATTACAGAAATGCGCTGATAAAGGGTGATGTGTGTCATTCATTTTCAATTCAATATACTAACACAAATTAGTGTGTACACAAGGTGTGTGTGTTCTTACAATGTGTTTGTTTGACGCATAAAGGTAACTATAAACATCATGAACTCACTGGACTAAATATTGCTTTCACTGGGTACTGCAAATACACTTTTTAACATTTTACACCATTCAGTTAAGATGCCTTTCGTTACAGTCTTAAGCCAAATAAGATCTGCTATAATTTTTGCTGTCTGGTACAAAATTTGTAGATTGTCATGTACTTATTTTACTGTAAAACAGCTATTCTTGTAATGGTTAAAATTGCAATTGACAAAACAAGCCCAGTCCCAAACGACACACTTGACATGGTCTTGTGGCCTTCACGAGTGCTCTTTGTGGCTGCTATGCACCCCTGAAACACCATTATACCTAGCCTGCACTGGTGCAGACTATATAGTGGACTATTACCCAACAGTCCATGTGTTGTAGACTCGGAGGAGGACCACAGGAGCTAAAAATGCCATTTGGGACAAGGCTTTAATTAATGCACACACTACAACCAACCAACCAACCAACCTGCAAGTACCTGTTGGCACCAGTCGGCAGAGAAACTACTGGCAAATGTAGGCTCCCCTTTTATTTGAGCTGGATGTCAGAACATGACATAAACTGTTGACATAAAATGGCCAGTCAACACTCTCGATCATGACCAAAAATGACAAAACTGTTGGTGTCCACAATCTGCCTGAATTTTACTCAAAATTTCACTGCGGTCATATTGTACAATATGACTAAAAATAATTTTATAAGTTGCCAAAAATCACACTGTACACCTGGCTTTAGCCCCCTGAGCATGCATTTGGAATCCTGAGCATCTCCATTCACCTATAATTTTGTCAGGTTGGGTTCTGACCACTTTCTGAATATAAGTGTGGTTCTGCACAATACCACCAAGGTTAAGAGGGTGGATGTGTAACAAAGCAAGACAAACATGTCTCGCTTCAAGAAGAAAATGCGCTTCTGCTAGTGTAGTTGTTCGCTCATATACCTGCAATGACCAAATAGCAATTTAACAGTTGAAGAACTGAATCTCTGTGAATGCATGACCTTGAGGCAGTCCCTTTCATTATGAAAGCATACATTTAAATAACACATGGAAACACATATCCATTAGCACATACACTGGTTACATGTTTGAATTCTGCACTACTTGCCCAAAGAACCAGAGTAAGAGCATACACCTGTAAACAAACACACACACACACACACACACATACATGCACAATTGGTGCTAGCTGTGATTTTAAATTCTAAAGTGGTATCTCATGGGCTTTCAACCAAGCAATATGTTGGAAGTGCAGAAAATATGTTCCATGTGGTTCAACATAGAACCACGAAGTACAAGAAAAACACAGGAGTACAAGAAAAAACAGGGCAAATGCACTCCCTCTCGAAAGCATGGATGTATTTCCTCCTTGTCCAGCATCGAGATCCAGACAATGGCTGCCCCGCTCCGCAGGCTCTGGGCACAAATGCTTCAAACTGGAGCCAAGGTGTTGCTGGAGAGTGGCTCATAAGAGGAGTTTTCCAATTAAATATGTGTAGGTCTTTCAGAGACTGACCTATTTGTAATCACTCTTTGTAATCTTGTAATCACAGTTCTTACAACTGTGTGGCCAACAGCTAAGCCATAATTGAAATCAGACAGAGAGAACACAGTGGTACAAGTGAAATGCAAAATGTGAACAATGAGGTGGTTTCCCGATAAAAGCTTGTCAAAACATATGTTACCTTACTCTATCAACAGAACAAAAAGAAGAGAGTAATATTTTATATATTGTAAGGGAAAATATTAGCCCAAAGGTAATTTTAATCAATTAT